GCGCAAGTCGCCGGTGCTGCGCCAACTGTAGAAAAGTCATCGCTCTGGACAGTCCGACTGTTACATCTTTTCTTTCTTGCAGACCGCATCGGCCGCAGCTTCAAGCCCTGCTTATGGATCATCTGGGCGCACCGCAGACCCTCCGCCAGGAACTAGTTTCGGTAAGCTTGCCCTGATTGTCTCCTGCCTCAGTGCGTCTAGATTTCTGTGCCGACTCTTCGTATTCATCGAATTGATGGTGAAATCTTTTAATATAAGCCGACTATGCACTGTCATCTAATCTCTGCCTGAACGAGCCTCAACCTATTTTGTGTAACTAAAGTTGTTGATCATCTTCGTACAGTCTATGTATGCTTAAGTAGTAGTCGGAATTAAAAGTCTTCCGGGGGCCTACAATTTCCATTCGTATCTTACGGACAATCATTGGTCAATCCAAAGAGTACCTTAAAACAAATAATTCAAAATACTGGAGCATATGTCGCGGTACACAGCATGGATAAATGAGGTCATCGGACTGCCAGGTGGGCAGTTATCTCAAGTTGCTAGTAGCACTCCTGAAGTGAGTCACTTTATAAATTTCAAGATGCCAATTGTAATCGTCCAAGTCTTGTTCGGTTATCCACAGTTTTTTCCAGGCCAAACTCGGATTGATTGTAATTGCTTCTATGTATATCGATGCCTTCATTCTTCCTATAATTCCCACTTCATTTAGAAATGTCGCACAAATCTGTGTAATTCCAGGTACCTGATTACTCATATTAAACTTCCGCAAAAAACTGTACTCTATGCCTAGTATCTCGGACAGCCTGTTTCTTGAGACGAAGAGTGCGTTTACCTTACTCAGTGCCAATAGGTGCCTATTTAAGTGACTGTCTAGTCCAGTCGAACTTATGAATTCTTAAATGACAGATAACTTTTAAGTATGCATAATCGATAAGGGGAATCTTGGGTGACTGTCCTTTATCCTTTTTCACCCACCTTTGCAACTTTTTTGTCTCCACATCGGCTCCAAGGTCTGACACATTATGTATCTTTTTTATTATACCGGTGTAGACAATGGCAACGTAGTATAGCTATTTCGGGCTGTTGGCCCTCGTCAGCTACGTGCAGCCTTCTACCCAGGATGGGCACATCCTGAGAGATAGATCGGTGTACAAACCAATACTAT